CGTGTTAGCCAGGATGGTCTCGATCTCCTGACCTCGTGATCCACCCGTCTCGGCCTCCCAAAGTGCTGGGATTACAGGCTTGAGCCACCACGCCCGGCCCTTTTTTTTTTTTTTTAAGACAGGGTCTTGCTTTGTCACCCAGGCTGGAGTGCAGTGGCAGTATCATGGCTCACTGCAGCCTCGATCTGCTGGGCTCAAGCAATCCTCCCACCTCAGTCCGAGTTGCTGGGATGACAGGTACACGCCACCACACCCAGTTAATTTTTATATTTTTTGCAGAAACCAGGTCTCACTATGTTGCCCAGGCCAGTCTTTAACTTTGCCCAGGCCAGTCTTGAACTCCTGAGCTCAAGCAATCCTCCTGCCTCAGTCTCCCAAAGTGCGAGGATTACAGGCATGAGCCACTGCACCTGGCCTCTGCCTCTTCTTAATTTGACCACATCATGTACCTGCTGCGCCTGCTCCTTCCTCACACTCTGTAGAAGAGGGTGCTAGTCCTGCCCTTTTGAGGCCTCCATGAGGGCCAAATGTGCCACGGGACCCTTAGTGCCATGCCTGCGCAGACCTGTGGAATAAACAGCACTTCTGAGCAGGCTCATTTTAAAGGGACTTGCAAATTTGGGCCTGCCTTGTGTGCCTTCCTCATAAAACCCACTCCTCCCAGAATGTGCTTGGAGGTGCTGCTGTATTTACCTGAGAGCTGTGCTTTTCTTCAAAAAACCTAAACGTGGTCATCTCTTCGATGAGGTGTGGCCCTGCACCCTCGCCTGCTTGTGGAAGGAGTCTGGGCCGACAGTGACCTGCGCTAGGGTCTCCGCTGAGGAAGTGGCAGGTGTTGTGGCCCTGACCTGGCCCCGTACTGAGTGTGGGGCCCACCTGTGCCCTCACGGGCAGCTGAAGGGGGAGCTTTCTACCCCAGGTTCCTTTCCTTACTGAGAAGTCTTCAGTAAACAGTTGCCGCTCTCCATCCCCTGCTTTTTTAAAAATGTTTTTTCTCACATAAGAAAATGTTATCTGTGTGCTGGGGAAAATTTTGAAAATAACAAAAACCAGAATACAACCACCCAAAATCAATCACAGAGATAACAACTGTTCATAATTCCTTCTCCAGTCTTTTTTCTTGGCACATACACATTCGTCTTTATATATGACATACAGATATTTTACAAAGTTAGGATCCTATTCTATGCACTGCTTGGTGATCGGATCTATTCAATGTATGAAACATTTTGAAAGTTCCTCTGATTAAATGTTCTTTGAAAACACAACTATTAGTAGCCTTCCATCCCTTGAGTTCTGCTTTAGCTTCTCCCTTGTATGTCTGGTCTTGCGTTCCCTTCCTCAGAGGCCAGGGTGGGGCTCCCCTGAGCAGGGCAGCAGGCAGCCCGGTGCTCAGATCGCATGGCCACAAGGCTGGTCACTGGTCTGGAATCCTTGGGCCAAGAACCTCCTCTCCTTCTCTGTGCAACACTTGGCACAAGTAGGGGCCGGTGCCTCACCTCTGACGCTCAGGTGACCTCAGAGTACAAGGGTCACAGGTGGACCCACTGGGATAACTTCTGGGGAAACCCTGATGGTTCCTCTCCCACTGGCCTCTGGCTGGTCCCTTGGTCCCTCCTTCCCAGGGTAATCAGGCAAGCACAGCAATAAAGTCCTCCCTTGTTTCACAAGGTTGTGGGACCAGTTCTCCCTCCCAGGGCCTTGGGCCAGCCTGCCTGTCACCCCCAGAATCCACCATGTGGGACCAGTTCTCCCTCCCGGGGCCTTGGGCCAGCCTGCCTGTCACCCCCAGAATCTATCATGTTGAGCACTTCACACACATCCTCTTCTCTCCTGGGCTTCATGGCAGCCCTGCGTAGCTGCCTTATCCTGGCTTCAATGCTGCCTGTCCTGACGGCCATGACTGACCAGCAGTAATGACATCGACATAGTCCTGCTGGGAGCGCTGCCGTCCCAAGCTGATCCAGGGGGCGAAGCCCCACCCAGGGTGCCAGAGATGGAGCTGGCTTGGGGTCACTGGGGCCAGGGCAATAGGCTTCTCCTTTCCCCACCAACCTCACCCTGGTGGATTCTAAACATCAAGACTTGATTTAGCCAGCACTTTGGGAGGCTGAGGTGAGTGGATCACCTAAGGTTCAAGACCAGCCTGGCCAACATGGCAAAACCCCCATCTCTACTGAAAATATAAAAATTAGTTGGGCATGGTGGCGGGTGCCTGTAATCCCAGCTTCTTGGGAGGCTGAGGCAGGAGAATTACTTGAACCTGGGAGGCAGAGTAGTGA